AACCTACAACTATACGATTTATATTTTAAAAATAATTAAATTCACTTAGCATTCAAAACTTGCGAATTTTGAAAAAAACAAATTTGCTGATTAAATACGGACAACTGTTTAACTAAAGTAAAACGGGTTTTCCCCTTGCTATGGATGTCTGCCTAGTTCAGTTCAGCCACATTCCGCTACAGTTCGCCTTTATTATCAGTTCGAAATGGGGTGGTTCCATAATATTCGCAGTGTTCCATAATACCACCATTTCCTCTATTATTTTCTATTATTTTGCTTATGATCTTTTTATTATTGCTCTTGTTGTAATGCTCTTTTTTCAAAACTTCTTTATGTACGAATTCTTATTCATTTGAAATTAAAGTAATTAACACTTAATAACTCAATACACAAAATATGCATATTTGTTTTGAATATTGCATTTTTATATTTATGTAAATTGAGCTTAAACTAAACAATTTTTAACACTTCAAACAACCTTTACAGCTCCAGTGGTATTTGTTTACACCTTAGCAAACGTTTTCAACCTCATCGAGGTCTTCATCAGGCTACTTAGGAATTCGAACGCGTTTGGAACGGAACGTATACGATTCAAAATTTATAAACCGATTAAGAATACTCATGGAACGTTACGCACGTGCTAAAACGACTGTAAAGCACGTGTAATATCAAGTTTGCGTAACGGTGGAAGCAGACGAATTATACGTACACACTCATTAATGGGGATGAGTTCCCTCATAACAAAACTTTCACGCACTAGATATAATTTCCACGCACTACTCATCCCCATTAATAAGTGCGTATAATTCGTCTGCTTCCACCGTTACGCAAACTTGATATTACACGTGCTTTACAGTCGTTTTAGCGCGTGCGTAACGTTCCATGAGTATTCTTAATCGGTTTATAAATTTTGAATCGTATACGTTCCGTTCCAAACGCGTTCGAATTCCTAAGTAAAGTAGCCTGATGAAGACCTCGATGAGGTTGAAAACGTTTGCTAAGGTGTAAACAAATACCACTGGAGCTGTAAAGGTTGATTGAAGTGTTGAAGTATAACTCCTCTAGTGTTGGAAGACGTTTATTTCTTAAACAATTTTTTTTTTTTATCATGTTCAAACACTTCTGTCAGAGTTTCTGTCAGAGTTTGTACAAGTTCTAATAGAAAGGGAAACAGATTGTAGCCCCGGAAACGAAAATGTATAGTACACGGACTGAAATTGTGTACAAAAATTTTACTTATAAATTGTACAGAACTAATGTGTATGACAAGTATGCGTTAGTATAGAATCGATTTCCGAACAAATCCCTATCAGTGTGAGAATACACAAATCACCAGTCCGTGCAAATAAGAGTCTGACGTCATATCTTTACAGTTATAGTCTCTTCATAATCACTTGTAGGCCTATATCAGGTAGTGTACAGTACATCCTTAAAAACGTAGCGTGATACTACAATTGATATTCAACTAAAACTCATTTATTTCAGAAATTTTATTTAAATGTCTTTAAGTATCATATTATTTTCATTTAAAATGCTCGCGTTATATTTAAAAAACATTTATCATTATATAATTTGTAGTTTTGTACTTCAGACTTTCGATAATGTTGTATCAGAAAATGTTTATATTTGAACTATGACTTGATAAACTAACTAATGTATTAAATTCATTCCAGTACAAAGTTAAATACTGAAAAGCACGAGGTAAGTAAATTTAATATATACTTCTCTTTTATACGAAGGGCGTACGATTTATGTTATAATTTAAATCATACATAAACCTATTAATTAATCGCTTTGTTGATAATTAATATCAAATTTTCTCACCGTTTCGTCTATAAACTATTTGTTTTGTTATTGAGACAATGCGCGAAGCGCCCCCTATCCTTCCGCACCATGGGACCGAGGGTTCGTCAGGTCAGACACAGAAACCTTTTTTCGCAAGCGGTCGCGTATTTAGGCACTTGGATGGAGGCGACACGAGAGACGGCGTTTGGCGTTTTAGGCGTATTTAGACGTTACGGTCACGTTTTAAGGACGTACACCAAACACAATTTTAACAATAACAATTATCCGTTTATTAACTACTAGCAGATAAGTCCGGCGTTGCTCGGGCAAAAAGTAAACATAGCAAAGATTAAGATTATTACATTATAGCCAATGTTATTTGTTTTCTCAGAATGTAAGAATTAGGTCCCCCTGTTTTCAGACTAATTAGAAAAATTTTAGATGGATATAAAAATATGTTCGAGTTCCCGCAAAAACGCAAAAAGCCGCAATTGCCCCTGTAAATCTTGTACGTCGCTTTCTCTTAACACTTCCACTATTAATACTTCCATTCTTAACACTTCCGTTATTAAAACTTCCCTGCGGGGAAGTGTTAACAACCTCTCTCACGCGGGGGAGAAGTTCGAAAAATCCCTTCTTAGTGTACATACTCATGACATCCCTAACTGTGTACGAAATTTCAACCTTCAACTCTTAACCGTTTGGACTCTTCGCTTATTATTATCAACCCATCTCGATTATATATATAGATAAGCTATTTACAATTAGCCTAAACATAGGCTGTTTACAATTGGAAGGTTGAACATTATGGTTATCAGTTTATACAGGATGTATCGAAATGACGTTTTTAAAATTTTGAGGATTGTACAGGATGAAATTTTGAACTTTTTGATATCAGGAACCTATAGCCGGAAATGTGATAGAAAGTTTCTACAGCACTTTGCACGTTCTATGCGGTCGGTATGTTGCACTGGCATTCCCTCGAGCTTAACTATAACACAAATGCATATTAGCAAGTTCTCCAAATGTGTAGTTACCCTCCACAGAGCCAGTGGATGCGAGGGTTGACCTCAAGAACGACAAGCACTTAGTACACAACGTACTGTACACAGGCTCGGTTAGACCACTGTAGTTGTGTGTTTACAGTGTTCCATCCGCAGCAATAACATGACGTCAACGGACGGAAAGTAGTTATCAAAGTGCGGTCAACCACTTCCTACCGCTGTAGACACTTTAGTCCAAATTTTCGGCTATAGGTTCCTTATATCAAAACGTTCAAAATTTTATCCTCTACAATCTCCCGAATTTTTAAAACGTCATTCTGATACACCCTGTATATTTTTTAATGTTAATATTTTGTTCACACAAACTTCACATAGATACCCTGCAAAGTATCTAAGGATGCGCTGCTTTGCAGATTGGGTCAAAGACACGACGAATTGATGGAAGTTTTGGTATACTTGGCAAGGTCTTGCTATTTTGATATTCTGACTATTCAGGCGACGGGGGGTCGTCATAGAGAGGAACGTCACTTAGGTAGGAAGGTATCCGACAGGTAATGCAACTCCAGCGAGGGCGAACTTTCGATGGCGACGGTCTCTTCTATCGTACGAACTCCCAGTGTGGTCATCAGATATTGCCTTTTATTTGGGGTCTTCCCTCTTTTCTCCATTGCCCGTTTTTGCTAAAGTAAACCTCCAATTTTGTTGTTAAGTTCTCGATGACACATTTGGTGGGTTATCTCAAACAAGGAAGCAAGTCCGTGGTCAAAGTTATAATAATATCCGTTATGATTTTTTTTCTTTCGAATAGTTTTTCTTTTATAATTTTTTTTTAAATCCGAGCTTTCACATTGTAATTAATTATTTATTATTTTGATCTTTGTTCAATCTTAAAACGAAACTGTAACTTTACACTCGGAATCACAATCAACTGATTTTTATTTATTTCATATGACAAAATTTATTTACAGATTACATGATTTTGCATTCATTATACTTTTTAAATAATAAAAATAACTATTATAAATAAATATATTTTAACTGTGTAAATTTAAAATTTTGTATTTAAAATTTTAAATATCTTGTATTAACTCTTATAACTAGACACTCATTTTAACATCTAATACACAATTATGCATATAGCTATAAACTAACAGCTTTAAATAAATTCATATTATTATTCAATAAGTTATTTCGTTAAAAGTGTTGGTTTCAGAAAATGATAATTTTTATATAAAAATCTATTTCGCAGAGTTTTTCACTTACTTTACTTCTTCACAATGAAAATCAAGCATAAAACCATCAGGAGAATTGTCTCTACTACATTATCTCGTATTGGATATCATGTCGGTTGCTATCCTCAAATATACGTTGCAGTCACTTTTATAACGTCGCTCGTTTTAGCAACCGGTCTATTGCATGTGCCATTGCAAAACAATTTAGAACACTTGTTTATTTCATCTAATGCAAGAAGCCGAATTGACAGAGCTGCAATTGAATCCATTTTTCCAACGAACGCGTCACAATGTGATTTTAGAAGAATGACAAGATTGGAAGCAATAGCAACAATAATAGCTACGCCTATAAACGGAACTTCTGTATTACAGGAATCAATAATAGAAGATATTATCAAACTTGACGAAATCATACAAAATCTCACTATCTTCTGGAATAATGCATTCGTCGGTTACAAAGATTTATGTTGTAAGACTGAGAGGAATATTTGCCAGGAAAATCTTGCTTTGAGTTTAAGAGGAAAGACAAATGATATCAAAAAAGGAACATACAACATCAAGTAAGTTGATATTTTTCCTATAAAATTTCAACTTTGTAATGTATTCTACCTGTGTATAAGTATTTTGCTTTATACAAATTTGTGCAATATTGCAAATTTTTTAACGTATGAAAAAAAAATAATTACGCAGTTTTGTGTTTCGTTAGTTATAAAATACACTTATACAATAGTTATATAAGTCATTAAAACCTGTAAAAATAAAATACGCAACATTATAAAATAGAGTAGAGCGTCGATTATCCGAATCAATTGGGGACTGGGGTTGTTCGAAAAATCGATGTTTCGGATAACCGATAATGTACGAAAAAATATATTAATTTATCCCATCTTGACATTTTTCTCCGTTGCGTGTCGCTTCGCGTTGAATTTTCGTCGATGTTAAGCCTAACGAAGACTATTGTATCGTTAAAAATTATTTTTTTATTTTGTACAAACAAAATAAATATATTGAAAAATATAAAAACAATAAAAAATTATACTTCACATGTTAATTTAGTATCGAAAACGTAAAATATTTAAGTAGCCCAAGACATAGCCAAAGATTGCAGCGCCACAGCACTGGCAAAAATTTAAATTTGCCGACTGGAATTCTTTCGGATGATTGATGTTTCGGATGATTGACTTTCGGATAATCGACGCTCTACTGTAATAAAAGTTTTAAGAATTAATTTTTTATTAATTAACAAAATACAGTAAAATCTCGACTTAACTGACTAATACGGGAGAGGGGTGGCATTTAAAGCCGAAAGTTAGTAATATAAAATAGGTTTTCCGAATGCGCGTTAAAAACATCAAGCAACGAGATGCTTAACTTTCCTGGCAATACAGTTACAATTTCAGTGCGACTCCATCTATTATGATATTTAATTATAAAATATTTTCATATCATAAATTGCAACAGGCTTCAGTTTGATGATAGAGTTGAGTTTTAAATTTTTTTTTAATTATAAATGCTAATAACATGTAAAATCTTTTTAAGTTCGATCCTGTCGAGACACGTCACTCCTTCATATATCCTCATCTCGTCGATTTTTAGCCACAAAAATTTAACAGCATTAATCTCCTAAATAACCCTTTCTGCCAGATTTCAGAAATTTAAAAAATGGTACAGAGATTATTAAGCTACAAAATCGTACCCACCACACACACTGGTATCAATGCATATAGAAAAATCCCAACAATTTTTTCGTCGTTTTCTCGTGTCCAAAAGTGTAAAAGTCTTCGGAGAGGGTCATTTTTTGACAGATAACCATACTTTCCAGAGCAGATTTGAAAAGTTTAAAGGCAAGATGAGCAAAATGATCGATTAACTAACTTACGACGTAACCGGAAGTCATGTTATTTTGGTGGTTATAATTAATGTTGCCCTATTCAGACCTGTATAGAGCCTTTTCTCATTGACGTATTTTCATCAAACTTGATACATACGTTATATAGACCATGGGAAAAGGAAATTGCAAAAAAAAAAAAAACAATATTTAGTTCAAATTTCTATCAATAGGTGAAAAAATGGCGTACGAAGAACAAGAAACACAAAATGGAAACACGTTAAAAGTTTTTATTCGCAATATTTGTTAAATGTGCAATCCATTTTCGTCAATCACATGTTCAAAGCGCCATATAGCATGTCCGATAAATTTCTTGAGGAATTGCAGCAACGTGGAGTATTATGCTTGATTTCAATTCAGGCTGAGTCCGTATGCCTTCTCTATAGACACAATCTTTCAGCTATCACCACAACCAAAAGTCACAGGGAATTTTATCATGCCATTTGAACTAAATAATTTTTTTGCATTATCCTTTTCCCCGTGGTCTATATAACGTATGTATCAAGTTTGATGAAAATACGTCAATGAGAAAAGCTCTATACACGTCTGAGTAGGGCAACTTTATTGTAACCACCCTATATGACGTACTGTACAATACAGGGGCAAGAAAATATTAACAATACTAATTTGAGAGGACAGCATATATTTTAAATTAAATAAATTTAAAAAGTATGATTAAAATTTGCTGTCAGGTATTGTTACGATGTCACAATCAATAACTGCTTCTTACTGATTAAAAACCATTTGAAAATTAACAGGGTGTTAAGTTTACATATCACATTCGAACCAGAAATTTGCCGTAAATTTCGAAGTCTGATAAATCGAAGTTTCATTATAATGGAAAAATCGTTAATAAAGACATTTGTTTAATCAAAATGATAATAAATATTTTTACGCAATTTTCAGCTAATTCGCCAGAGTAAAATAAATTAAAACTATCGCTAATATTTACATTTGTTTAATGTTTAAATGAGTCTATTTGCAGATATCCGGCTGATATAACTAGAAATCAAGTAATAGTGTCTGCTTCAGAATTTGGAGGGGTAACTTTGAATGAAGAAAATATGATCCGAGATGCCAACGCAATTAGGTTGATCTACGCAACGGACCGCAGCACGAAAGAAAAGAAAGAAATGGCACTGAAATGGGAACAAATGTGTTTAGAAACTTTGTCAAAAATTAATTTGAACAGTACCAAAATTTCTAAAATACTAAGTCGCTCTTCCGACGACGAAATTAGTCGAGTAGGTGAAGGTGCATTGTCTCTTATTTTAATTATTGGTCCGATTATGCTGTTATTTTCAGCAGTTTCTTGCTTGTCAACTGACTCTCTCATTAGCAAACCATGGTTGGGTATTGCTGGTTGCGCATCACCTGTCATAGCAACTGTTGCAGCATTTGGTTTCCTGTGTTACTGCAAAGTGGATTACGCAGCAATAAATGTCATGGTTTTTTTTCTAATTTTAGGTATGTTTTTAAGAAATTTTATATTTTAAAATAATTTTAATTTATATTTACAGAATTCCATTCAGATTTACTCGCTTCCTGATAAGAATTTTAATGTATTTCTTTTTTATTCAGGATTTGTTAGTTATTCTTTCCGTCAAATTTCTTATAATATTGGCTATTTTTACTGTTTATACGTAAAAGAGAGAAAGTATTTTTGGAATCAAAAAATGACCCCTCAAAACTTTTACATTTTTCTACTTAGGAGACCTTCAAACATACAGAAGAAATATGGGGTTTTCCCTGTATGAAAGCATGTTTGTGTGGTGGGGCAGACTTTGTTCACCCTGTTTGAAGCTTAATAACTCCTGTACCTTTTGTCGAAAATTTCTAAAATTTTGCAGGAAGGTTTGCGCATTACGTGGTTTTATGCTGTTAAATTTTGGAGGTTAAAGGTCGGCGGGGTGGGGAGATAGAGAGAGTCACGTGTCGTANGTAAAAAAAAATTAGGGAGATTTTTCTGTATTTATGGATGTTAGTATGTACAGTATATCTGTGTGTTTGTGTTTGTGTGTAGCACGTTATTGTTCACCCTCTTTGAAGCTTAATACCTCCTGTTTCTTTTTCGAAAATTTCTAAAATCTTGCAGAGAGATTTGTGTATTAGAGGGATTGATTATATTAAAGTTTCGCTGTTGAAGGTGGAGAGGTAGGAGGAATTTCGGGGGTCGTGTTTCATATATCTAGTTGGATGGGACTTAACGACGATTTTACTCGTTATTAGCATTTACAAATGTTTTTATGAAACTTATCCAAACTCTCAAAATTAAGCTTTTTGTCATTCATTATATTAATCAAAAGTATAAAATATCTAAACAGATGGCGTCACACGGATGTTGCCTAGAAAGTTAAGCAACTCGTAGCTTGACTTTTTAATAGAGTTTTATTGTTTTTCTTTTATTGCTCTATCCGAAGGAACTAAAAACATTATTATTTTATTTTAGACTGTGTTGTTATTAAATTTCTTAGCGTACACAATCTTCTATATATATTATTATAAGCAAGTATTCAAATACTGTTCAAAATTTAGTACTTGTCCTTTTACAATAGACAATTAAATACTTTTTCAGGATACAATATTTAATTAAAAGGGCGTAACTTGAGTTTACAACAATGAGTTGTGTAACTTTTTCGGTAAAACTTTAAAATTGTGTGGCGCCATCTGTTAGGAAATTTTATTTTTAAAATCTGAGAATTCTGAGAATATGGGTGAGTTTTTCGAAAACAGTGGTAAATGCTAATAAATAATAAAATCGTATTTTCTGACCCCGCAAGTGATACGCGATAATACATATTAATAACAGGATCTTTACATCGTTACTTGCGATTCGATAATAGCTTTGTCATCACTATCTAAACTTTTTTTTAAAAAAAGTAGAAGTGACTATTTTTTACTATTTACTATATTCTTCTATTAGTCTGTTTTTCCCCCATCTAACAGATACCAATTACTAATAACTATAAAAGTGAAGGCATAAATTATTGTTTGAGAATTCTTTATTTCCGAGATTCCGAACAACGTTCGTTGTTCTCGCAACGAAACGATGCTCATAATAATCATATCTGGTCTGTGTGTGCTTACATAGGAACAAATATTTTGGCGACTAATGGCGAATATCGCATGTCAGCACGCGCCCTAACATTTAATTAATTTCAGGTGTTGGTGTCGACGATGGCTTTATATTGATAGCTGCGTGGAGAAGAACTGACGTTAATGCTTCCGTTCCACATAGAATGAAAGAAGCATATGCCGAAGCTGCAGTGTCCATCACTATTACGTCTCTAACCAATCTTCTTGCATATTGCATGGGATTTGTAACGCCATACAAAATGATTCATATATTCAGCGCCTATGCAGCTCTGTCAATCGTGTTTGACTATATTTATCAGTTATTGTTTTTTGGTGGCCTCATGGCTTTAGATGGATACAGAGAGAAGTATAAGCTGCACGCTATCTTTTGTTGGCCAATCAAACGAAATCATTCCAGTAAGATAACTTTTTATCAGGGTAACTGCCACTTATAACATAACATTAAAATTAAAGTAATAAAAATTCAAACATTACAATTTCAAGAATCATATAGAACTTCCCAATTAATATGTAATTTTTACTTACAGTTGAACAAAAGACAGAAGTAAAGTCACAAGAAAAGAACGAAAAAAATTTATTCATGGTATTCTTCGGTGAAATTTTAGGCCAAGTCCTTGGAAATTCAATTAGTAAAGTTACTGTGATCTCTATGTTCGTCATTTATCTATCGGGTGCAATATACTGTATGAGATTCGTTCAAGAAGGAGAAGACATAACTAAATTTCCTGCATACACTTCTTACGTGCGTGACTATCTAAATGTTGAAAATAAGTATTTTTCTAATTATAGTCATCAAGTTCAAATAATTATTAACCAGCCATTAGATTATTCGAATGTAACTGTCCAAAATGACATAGAAGATCTTCTGAAAAGTTTCGAATCTGCTCCATTTATATCCGATTCGTCCATTACAGAAAGTTGGCTGAGAGAATTTCTGGCATTTACTAAATCTCCAGTTGCAGAGTTTTCGCTTTCTGGTTACAATCTGACTGATTCCGAAGACTTTATTAGTGCTTTTAAAAATGTATTCTTGAAAGTAAAAGTAGTAAACCGGTTTAGAAATGACGTTATCTTTAACGAAAAAAGTGATAAAATTACTGCATCCAGATTCATCGTTTCCAGTTTGGATGGAGAATCTCGAACTGACGAAAAGTTTTTCTTTGAAAATGTAAGAAAAATTGCCGATAAAAGCAAAATTCCTGTTATCGCATACAATTTTAGATTTATATATTATGAACTGTATATTAATGTCCTTTCAAATTGCTTAAAAGCCATCTCTTCTGCGGCCGCCATAGTGATTGCAGTATTTTTATTATTTACCCCAAATATATTATTTCTTCTGTCTGTTGCCGTTACTGTTGTATCTATTCAAGTCGGATTGATTGGATACATGTCATTATGGAATGTGACTGTGAATACAACTGCATTAATATCGTTAGTAATGTGTACGGGCTTTTGTGTAGATTATACAGTTCATACGGCTTACGCGTTTATCAATTGCAAAACGAAAACACCGAACGAGAAAATCAAGAGTTGTTTATATGCTGCTGGATACCCAGTGTTACAAGGATGTATATCTACGTTACTGAGTGTTTCGGTGTTATATTTTGGTCCTTCTGAACAGTTTGTCGTATTTTCTAAAATTATAACTTTAATGGTTATTTTTGCTTTTTTTCATAGTATAATTTTACTTCCAGTTATTCTGTGTCTAATAGATTCTCTGTCGTGTAATTTTTTGAAAATGAAAAGACGTAAAATTGAATATAATGAGAATTGTATGAATGAGATCGAATGTTTAAATTCTAAAAACACGTCACGTATTAATCAAAATTGATAATTTTTATTTAGAGGTTAGATTCGATTTTACTTGTTAAATATTAATTTTGGACATTACGAAGAAAGAACGTTTCTGTAATTTTCCTATTTGATTATGTGCATTTATATTATGTAAATTACTTCCACTAAAAACTGTAATGTTAAAATCGATGGTTTGCTTAGCAAATTCGATAAAATATTTTTCAATTGATTTGACGACAATTATTTGATTAACGTTAATTGTGCCATTGAATTTGTGTTTCTTCTACTCGTGCAATAAATATATTATAAATTGTCAAATATACACACACACGTATTGCCTATGTAGGCCTGTTTAGGCTATATTGCAAATTTAAAATATACAGATGTTTTAGTACTGTATAGAATTTCTGGTAGCCTTGATTTAATAGCCTTATCGGATTGACCAGTTTTTGCCGGATCAGCCGTACTCACGTATAGTAATAGTTTATTAATACTCTTCTAATTCACTAATTAAACGTCTCGTGCGTTTAAATTATATTATATTCAACTAACAAATTACATTAAATGTTAAATATAAATTAGTTTTGACACTACCACTGACAAATTTCACTTCTCTTACGACCCATAGGTAACAAAATGGTATCGGAATATCTTCGTTTCCGAAAAACATTTCCTGAATTGCAAATTGGAAGTTGTTTAACAAATGGAATGGTAAGAAGTAGTCGCTGTGACTTACACAATATTACTAATTAATATAGCATGAACAATTCTGTAATTGTTAACACGTTATAAAGTCTTAAAAGGTGATAGGTTCAGCTTAATCACTTACAATATTATTCATTCAAAATCCTTAAGCCCATTTGTATGATAACACCGATACAATCTGGTTTACGAAAAAAAAGTTTCATATGTACTGTACAAAAGAATCTTTTATGCCATTATATAAACACGTTTAATATTTATAATTCTTTATCTGAATTATACCCACAAATGAAGTTTCTCTGGAAATATTTCGTATTATATTAACAATAATACATTTATATAGAAGTTGCATTTACAATTATGCATGATACATCACTTCCCTATTCCCACCCGAATTTTAATGTATATAGGCTATTGAAAATTTTACTCAAGTAAGGTGTTATAATACATTTTTGTTTAGCTTTGGTATGTACTGTACAATACATTACTGCGCGTTATAAGGAAGTGCAACAAACACATTATTAACAATAATAAATACAGTCGACCCCCCTATAATTACGGTCCCTATAATTACGATTCCTATAAAACTACGAAAAAATATACGTATTTTGGAAATGTTGAGTCGGATTAGTGTAGAATCGATTAATTTTATGGAAGAAAACCTTTCAATCAGCCGTAGTCCGTAAACTTGACACGTGTCGGGCTGTGATTGGAACGACTTGTAAGAAATCGGATTCCTAATAAATTGGAACGTATCTATATCTTATAGGGGGGTCGACTGTACCCATTTATTTACCAATAGTAACTTTTTTATTTATAAAACGTGAATTTTCGACATTACGAAAGAAAGCATGTTTGCGTTATCTTCTTATTTGATTGCATGCGTTTATACTTATGTAAACTATTTTCAGCAAATATTTTACTGTTATAATTGATGGTTTGATTTGCAAATTCAATAAAATATTTAGAACTGTTGAATCGATATATCGACAATTATTTAACTAACCTTAATCATGCAATTGAACTCTTGATTTCAAAGCTTTGCTGGATTAATCATTTTTCCATTCCAAATATGGTCACGTATAATTATAATTCATCAACACACCATTAACACACTAATTATGCCTCCTTATGTGTCTAACGTATACCACGAACTAGTGGAAACTTGTATTAAATAAATCTAATTCGAATATAGTGAAATCTCGATATATCGTAACACTTAAATAGGAATTAATTTAGCATAGAAATTCCCTTCGGGAGGCAACGCCCTTCTCTTTTCTCTTAATTGGCATACGATTAATTATTATCATTATTTAATTAATCCATAAACTTATTAATGAACACGAACATTTATATTTATCGTACGGGGAATTAGTCTAATTTTTCGCCATCAGGAGAAAATGTGGCGCTGTCCGGTCGAAAACGTATGTTTCCCGTTGCGGGGATTTGTTTTACGATTAAATTTTGTCAATTGAGAACACAGAATTTGATCCGATAGGCTACCGGGGGAATTACGTAGACTAGAAACTCTACAATTATTGGTGACCTTCGCATGCACCAGCAACACCCTCTGAGGGGTGTGCACTTAACCGATCGTAGAGGACCTCCCACATCTGGAAACTTTTAATAGTTATATCCGTTTAAACACTACATTTTATGTCATTTTCATTATTCGAACTTAAATTATGGTTGTTAGTTCTATTCGGGATCAGCTATTGTAGATCGAACGTGTGAATAGTCTAATAGAGTGGTAGTGTTTAGATAAGGGGCGGAGAAATAACACGTCTACGTTACTCCCACACTCGTGGAAAGTGCATCAATATACACAACGGCGGAGTGGGGGGGTCAAAAGTGCTCAAAAGCCGTACACGTGATTAATGGACAGCCTCAAAGCATGAAAAAAAACTAACTATTTATAGCAAAGTTTATATTTCTTAATGTAATTTCTACGCTTGGCAACATAACCTGTAAATCGAGGACATCACGGAAATTGAATTATTTAAATTTCCAGCGAATCATCTGAGGTTTTATTGATAAATCCTTCTTAATTTTAGCAGATAGTTGTTTAATTAACACGCAATTTAAATCTGTATTCAGGGTCGTTTGTATCTCGTTCGAGGTCCGGAGGACAGACGGATCGTTTTTGTCACGTTTTCTTGAACAAATTAAATACAAATAGATAGTTTGTATATTAATAAGTCTTAAAACTTTTATATTTTGTTAGTAAAATTAGCATTAATTTGTAGGGATAGAAACTACTAGGGATTCCTAATTTTTCTAAGAGTGCCCAAGGGAAAGCTTGCCCTTTCTCGATAGTTTTCTTGCGTATAACATGTAAAGAAGCATTAAAATCTTCCAAATATAATGGACGACCTCCGTTCGACGTCATTAAAATCCGTGACTTTTTGCAAGGATAAAACAATTCAAAAATTCAAAAGTGTGACGTATGTATTATAAGAAACGTTAATAACTCATACGGGCTTGAAATATCTCGACAAATACGCTATTTTTAAAATTATACAATAAAATTTCTTCATACACTAAGTCTACGTTTTGAGTAATAGCATCGCGTACAAAAGAAAATAAATAAGAGACGAATCGAGGAAAACGAATTAAAATAATTTATTTTCCATTCTCAATGTAAATTTGTCCTTCTCGAAGAATGCATAAAAACTTTTCGTCTTGACGGAAGAAGTTTAAAATGCTTGGTTTTTACCACGGAGATACAATTAACAAAGGTAAGATATTATATTTTTATTACGTTTTGCTGTACTGTACGTAACAAGGGAAAGTATTGCAATTGTGTCAAATTTAACCTTCTGAGTTTTTGAAAATACTTATATTTTGACACCTCCTAACCCTAGAAAGTAAAAAAAAAAAAAAAAACAGGGTGTAACTTCATAAATTTAACTCCATCCTTTCCGATTTTCAGCACATCCCTACCTAAGGGGTCTACAAAGTCTGTCTAGTAAGCTTCCTCGGTTCAATTAGCAGTGTCTATATGTAGTGTATGTATATATATATGCGTATTTGCTTTTGGTTTTATAACGTAAACTTATTTTTGGGCTGCAATTTTCAAAAATTTCCAAATTTTATAAATTCGTTAATGTCGAGAAAGAGAAAGAACTAGATCCTACACGAAGGCCATCACTAAACTAAATCCTATCTTCTATTGTCTAGACACTAACAGTCTACACTAAGAGTCTACACCAGAAGTCCTTAAAGTGTGGATAAAGTCCTTAAAAACTGTTCATTAAAAGTTTTTAGTACAAAGGGTGACGACTGTTTAGTAGTGTGTGTGGATTAACACTAGCTCGCCAGACTTGTTTATTTAATTACTATTATTAATTAACTTACAGCAAAAAAAGGGGGTGGAGTATCCTTGAAGGGGGTCTGGTCGAGACAATATTTACTAATTACATAAATTCTTCTGTCCGGCTAACGTACAGTACAGCATCGATTCACTTTTCTTAAAATAGCGACGGTGTAATAACGAAAACAATAGGAAAAGTCATTGTAATTGATGTAATTGATAAACAATTCCTTTACATTTTTAAATTATTTTTCCTTTAAAACTCGATATTATTTTAGAATTTTACTAGAAAAATGGCCACAGATCACTTCAAAGAATGAGAAATAAAATATTTATTCTACATATTTTTAATCCTTATTTATCATTTCCTTAATTATTTTCCTCTGTAACTTCTCTTTCCTCGTTTAAAATATGAATAAATGTAAGGACGTAAATTCCTTTGTTTTCTTATTTCTTTCTAAACACGTGTTGGGGAAGTACAGTACACTACTAATACATTAGACGTGTATCGGAACTAATCAAAAATATAATTAATTAATCCATTTAACTGTACAGTACGTTCGAAAATTAAGTACAACACAGATTGTGTGGTATAGCGAAACCTGTGTAAACCGAAGTCGTACGGTACAAAACATTGGCAGGTTACCGTTTTGAACAGGTTTTACTGTATTTGTTATATGTAACAGGGGGAAAGTATGGCGATCAATCAAAACCTCACCCGATATTTTTACATTTTTGAACTCGGGAAACCATGAAACACCGAGAAGTGCAGAAAAAATTGGTTTTCTTTCTATATATATCGATAGTATATACGTGGGGGGCAAGATTTACTTTACCTACTTTGAAGCTTAATAACTCCTGTGCGTTTTGTAAAAAATTTCCGAAATTTTGCATGGAGGTTCGTTTATTAGTGGGATTGATGCTGTTAAATTTTGGTAGTTAAAGGTCAAGGGGTGAGGAGATAGAGGGGAGTCACGTGTCGTATCTCTAGTGGGGTCGGAAGATATTACTCGTTATTAGCGTTTACAATTTTTATTAAACTCATCCTTACCCTATTATTTTAATAAATTTTAATAAAATATCATAACAGATGATATTTTATTAAAATTTGACCACACGCAATTTTAAGTGTTTTATTCCGGGAAAGTTACGCATCTCGTTGCTACAGTTTTTTACTGTTTTGCTTTGTTAATTATTATAAAACGTCACGTGGCATTGGGCGTAAATTAAAATGCGTATACCTTACGTGTAACCTCGCGTGACCTGACACAACTTTCAGCTTCGTAAGGCTGTCTGGTGTAAACAAGGTCGTATACGGATTCGTGATTCTTACTCATACTTTATTTTAATTTTTATTTATTCGGCGCTGTATTGGAGGTTACGAACATCGACACTGTACGAAGGTAGCGCTATATAGAGGTTTAACTATTGATACAAACCATTGATTAATTTATAACTCGTTAACCTTTTGCTCTTTAGGATTTATCCAGGATCGAATGTGCAGTTAGATTAATTACGTCATAAAGGCAATAATATAAAGTCAAACCTCTGAACAACGGACAATGACAGGAAAAAAACTGGCTGTTATTTGGAGGTTATTCCGTATCTATCTTTGTTGAAGGGGAAAAAGTATGGCCGCTGACTATAAATGATCGTTTACGGGAGGTTCGGCGATATTACACATAATTTATCGAATATTATTTATAAACTTTATAATTACAATTCTCGGTATAACGAGGGGTTTTTAATGAGATATTGCTAAACATTTTAAAACAAACAACATAAAAGAAATTAAAGTTTTAATTACTTTTAATAACATTTACTTAAACCCGATATAGTGCCCTTCTATACGTTTCCACTTTCGTTTAACGCCCACGAACGGAATTTTCTCAGGGAAAAAGGCATTTTTATCACTAAAGCCTCAATCCTCAAACTTGTATGTAGACAAATAATAATGATTTAGCGCCTCACTTCATTTACCGCAAACTTCAGGGGCAGTGAGTGGCTCTATACCCGGGTTGGGCCGCATTCGAAAAATGTTCCGAACTGTACTTTAATGTATTGGATATTATTTTCTGCGTTTAATCTGTACTCTATCGCTTGTGCGAATAAATTTTCCTCAAACATATATTTCTTTCCATAACACAGCAATTACTCACGTGCTGATGACGCATGAACAATAGCTGATAAGAAAATAACAATAAAATAACACTTCTCGTGAATTACCCGAGTTATTTTATATTTTTAAAAATAGAAAAATGTTTATAAACGTATTCATTCCATTTATTTTTAATTTATATTTACAGAATTCCATTCAGATTTACTCGCTTCCTGATAAGAATTTTAATGTATTTCTTTTTTATTCAGGATTTGTTAGTTATTCTTTCCGTCAAATTTCTTATAATATTGGCTATTTTTACTGTTTATACGTAAAAGAGAGAAAGTATTTTTGGAATCAAAAAATGACCCCTCAAAACTTTTACATTTTTCTACTTAGGAGACCTTCAAACATACAGAAGAAATATGGGGTTTTCCCTGTATGAAAGCATGTTTGTGTGGTGGGGCAGACTTTGTTCACCCTGTTTGAAGCTTAATAACTCCTGTACCTTTTGTCGAAAATTTCTAAAATTTTGCAGGAAGGTTTGCGCATTACGTGGTTTTATGCTGTTAAATTTTGGAGGTTAAAGGTCGGCGGGGTGGGGAGATAGAGAGAGTCACGTGTCGTATCTCGAGTACGATCTGACTTAATAAAAATTCTTTTATAAAACTCATCTACACCCTCAAGCTTTTTGCCATTTTATTATAATTAATATTATAAAAACTTTTTAATAAAATAAATCAGATGACATTCACACGTAATTATAAGTGGGTTTTTTTTTTAAAGCCGGGAAATCGCACAACTTGTTGCTGGAATTTTATTTTGTTTTTTTTTTTTTGTTTTGATACGATTATGATAAAATTTCCAGATTAATATGTTACTTTTACTGCTTAATTAATCAATATTACATCCTTCTGGTTGACTTATACGTATCTACAGTTGAACCTCGATATAGCGCTACCGCTAAATCGAGTGTGGCGCTAAAACGAATAATGTAAAACCACAAAAACTATTTAAAGTAATAAGACTGGCAGACAAGTCGCACGATTCGGTTATAACGATGTCCTTTTCCATGCGAAACCCAATATTTGATAAACGAGAAATAGCCTAATAATAATTAATACAGCCAAATTTCGATATAGCGGCCTCCTATATAACGTGCTGAAATAAACAGTGTAAATACAAACGATATTAATCGTCAAATTTAACACTCAAACTCTCAAATTCGCTTGTAGACTTCATTACAATACATAATTCTATTCGGTTTAGCGTCACACTCGATATAACGCAAATTCCAGAGCGAACAAATAGCGGGGATAAATCGAGGTTCGGCTATAGTTGTTCGAAGGTTCGTTAGCTAGCGATCGGCACCGTTGGAGAAGGGCGGTATATCGAGGTTTGGCTACATTATAAGCCTATAATTTAAAATAGCGTTTATGATATTTTAAAACGAGAATTATAACAACTTAATCATTCAAATAAATCGTTTAATACTTAATTTTTGCGATATGTTATCTGTACTGATGGGAAATTCCCCGTTAATTTTCCTGTTGATTTCTTACGAAAAAATTCCAGCAACGAGTTGCCTGACTTTTCCTGCAAAAAAGTTAAAATCGCGTGGGTTTCTATGTTTTTACGAGATTTTATTAAATAACCTTTTATATTATTAATTATTATAAAATAGTAACAAGCTTAATTTCGAGAGTAGGGATGGGTTTTATAAATAATTGTATATGCTAATGAGTAAAATCTACATTAAATTTGACCCTATTGGAGGTGACACACGACCTTATTATCTCTCCACTTCGTTCACCTTTAACCTCCAAAATTTACTATCATCAACCTTCTCAATACACAAATCGCCCTGCAAACTTTCAGAAATTTTCGACAGAAGACACAGGAGTTATTAAGCTTCAAAGTGGATGAACGAAATCGTAAACCCCAGACACACTATAATATCCCCACATACAGAAAAAAACCCCACAACGTATTGATATTTTGCTTTTCTGGACGTTTCAAAGCCCCTGAGTCTAAAAGTTTTAAAATTTTGGTGGTCATTATAATAAACACATAAACTTCGATATAGTGCACCCCCGTACAGCACCTATCAACGCTGGCCAACGAATCATCCTCATGGCTATCCTTGACCATCTTGCATGGTTTTTCGTTGCAAAGAGAATTAATTACTCGATTTAGCGTCAAATTTCGAGGTCGCTGTACCGAGGTTCGATCTTATGTAATTATTTACAACCCGACATCACTGAAACTCCTAATAAAATTGTTTTTTAACGTTACGTAAAAGCCAACCGGTTGTCAATCCGGGGACAATTCCAAGGACTTCAAACCAGTTCGTAATAGCGCTACCTCAAAGTGATTGTAATTTATTATAAAAATAAGTATTTAACATTAAAACAATTCTCCGGGCAATTCGATAAAATCTCTGGAACTTTCACACATGTATTCAGAAATCTCAGCAGTACACTCGTGGTAAGTTCGGTCTGTTACAAAATTATAGTACGGATAATTATAATACATTATATTCTTAGGATTATTTTAAAATATAGTTATTCGAATTTAACATTTATAACTTATTCTTTTATTATTAAATTTTCTTTAGTTAATGAGTAAATTGGACTATTTAAAAATAAAATCGGCAGCAATTATTATAGAAAATATTTTGTTTTATTCGAAAGTTTGTTGGTTATATAATTCTTTTATCAATTAATTGTTTCATTAGTTAAATAAAAAATCATTTTAATTATGTATGTATGTTAGATAAAGGGTTGTATACCGTTGGCATTAATATTTTTCGACACCCTGGTAAAAATACTATGGGGTCCCCACCCTTAAATAATCCTAAAGTCTTACCCCCTCTTATAAAGCCCACTCCAACCCTTCCTAAAGCTTACCAAAATCCTCCTGGAGGTCCCAACCGCTCCTAAAGCCTAACAAATAAATAATAATAATAACTAATATTTACTGTATATACAATTCCCTTATACAAATTTCATGTTAAGACGTCTCAACCTGCCAACAACGGGCACGTTTCATGTTCCCTTCGGTGTCGGTTATCCGCAGGTTTAACTCTGTCTCCTTTTTAATATGCAGTCTAACGTGCATTCCTCGGTTTTGATTTCTTGAGAAAGTAATTTAAACTTTTCTTCGGGAATTTTTTAAAATAATTTATATTGAAAAAATTATATTTTTAGAGTATGAGCGAAGTGACATTTTCCTCAAAATTTCCTCTAGAATTTTCTGACAATCTCTAACAACTGATTATAAAAGTAAGATTGCTCAGCGCGTTTCTACACTGTTAATTGCAAAATAAATTAAAATCTTAATACGACCAAACCTCTGAACAATTGCCACTGGGGGAAACATAAAATGTAGTCGTTGTTCTCATGTGGCCGCTGTTTGGAGGTTATTTTCTACGCTATCCTATTCAAAAGAAATCTTCTTGAAAAATGGTTTCCTACTTTCTATCGACGCTTTCCCCTCTTTATTAACATGGATGTCTTTTCCTTAAAGACACCAATTTCCCATCAAAAACATCCAAATAGGTGCCCGTTTCACATAGAAAGTCCTCCCAAAAGGCACTCTCCTTGGCATATCACAGATATGTCACGCTTCCTTACTGCCTACAATCTTAGATTTTGACTTATGTTTTCTATTTTTCCTTATTCGTGCGCTGAATATATGCAGTTACTTAATTTACAATATAACGTGCCTTAAGAGACCTCGGTGACACCGAATGCGATCTCCTAAAAATAGTGCCCGCTTGTGATGTAAGGACACCAACAATTAACATTTATCAATTGCTCGCCTTTACATCTAATTATTATGCATCTTTATTGTTAATAACGATTGCAATAATTACTATAAAATATGTATAAGGGTAGTTTAGATAAAGTGTAGAGTAACAATGTAATTCATGGCAGAATTTTTAACCTTTATTGTCTACACGTTTTATTAAATAAAACATGTGTAGACAATAATCAAAAATACACATGTTTTATTTAATAAATGTCCTTGTTTTATTATTTTATATATCAGTGGCTACTATTTTATTTTATTTATATTAGCTTATTGCTTAATAATAGCTGGAGTAACGCCAAATAAAAAGTATTTTTAGTACGACATATAATTAAAATCACGATATACGACACAGGAAAATTAGACTTCGACTTACGACGGCTCGCTTAACGACGGGAAGGAATGAGTCGTATAAGCAAGTGTCTACAACGTATTAATTTCTAAATTTATTTATATTAATATTAGTTCTATTGTATACATTTTACAGTATAAAATGTTTTTTTTCGACAGAATAATGAAGCATAATTACGTCGTTAGGAGCCTGTCATCCATCTTCTATAGAATTGGTTACCACATCGGATACTGCCCTCATATCTACGTTGTAATGGCGCTTATAACATTGATAACCTTGGGGTTTGGAATTCATAAAATTTCCATGACAAGGGACATCGAATATCTGTTTACGCCAGACAATTCGAGGAGCATAGTGGAAAGGAAATGGGTGGAAAACATGTTCCCCGGAAAGATCCCGACTGCTTACGAAATGTCTAAGCGTACAAGGTATGGAAAATTCGGTTCTATTATAATTGAATCGAAGAACAAGTCGAGTATGTTGGATGACGCGGCCATGAAAGATGTGCTGACGTTAGACGGCATCGTCAGAAACATTACATTTTACATGAATGACAAGTTTGTGGGATACAGCGATCTGTTTCCTAAGGAATCTGATACCTTCACTCGAAACATGATCTTGTATTTCAAGAAAAATGCCAAGAAAATTAAACAAGGAAAAGTGACTATTAGGTAAGAATTTATTTCCTATTATAATAGTTTATAATTAAGCCCACCAATTAAGCCATATATAATTACGCAATGGATTAAAAACCACTGACAATGGTCGTGAGTTCGCGCCTGGCCACTTGTTTTCCTGGTTTTCCACGTTTGTAACACCTCAACAGGTGTCAGTTTTCCATAAAAGATCTCCTACGAGTCATCGCTCGTGTGTTACGTTGTCTTATACAAATAAAACCAAACTGGGCCCACAATAGAGATAACGGGAGGCGAGGGACAAGGCCCTAATATCCGATTTAAAAGCATGTATAAGGTTGTAAGATTTACCAAGAGGAAGTACCTCGTAAGAGAATTTGGTTTGAAAAACTGATCTCTATTTAGGTGTTTAAAAAAAAATAAAATTATAAAAAATCAAGAGAATCTCTAAGAATGGCTAAACGGCGGCCATTTTCGGGAAAGTTTCTTTTGAAATGCATGCAATATAACCTCGCAATAACGTCCATTTGCGTGTTGCCGTCAGTGGCCGTTGTTGGGAGATTTTACTGTATTAGATTTAATTATATTTTCACTATAATGATAATATAGAACAGAATTGGATATTTTTATCATTTTTTTTTTCTTTTTGTTAAAAAGTTACTCAAAAATTCACTGTAAAATCTGTGCAAACCGAAATCGCACGGTACCAGTTTTGCAGATTTCCGCTTTGGACAGGTTTTACTGTAATTTTTTTTTTAACGTTTACAACAAAATGCTATAATTAAATACACATAATCAATTATATATGCTTTCTTTATTATTTAATGAAATGTATGTTCAATTATCTTTTAACTGTTTTCATTTTTATCACCGATTATTTTTTGTATTTTCTGCTTATAGGCCTATATGATGATCACTGGTAAAATCTTATTCGTTCCATAAACAATAAACATATACAACTCACGTATAAAACTATTCATTCAAAACATTGCNTTTTTTTAACGTTTACAACAAAATGCTATAATTAAATACACATAATCAATTATATATGCTTTCTTTATGATAATTTTATATCAATTATAATAAAAAGATAATAATGATAAGTTTTCCTTTTATATAACTCCCTTATTTATGATAAATGATATCTATATTACAATAAAAGGTTATCAATTTTGTCAATCGTTTCCATTCATAAAAAGATGTCTAACAACGAGTTGGGTAACTTTTCCCGGCATAAATAATAATTTATGTTATGTAAATAATAATTTATTTATGTAAATTCTTATATAAATAATAATTTATTTATGTAAATATAAATAAATAATAATTTATTTATGTTATGGGTAACTTTTCCCGGCATAAATTCTGATGGCTTCATCTGTTATGATATTTTATTTTAAAACAATTTTATATTATTAATTATTATAAAATGGCAAAAGGCCTAATTTTGAGGGTAGGGATGGGTTTTGTCAAAAGGAGGGGAAATGTACTGTACGTGCTAACAAGTAAGTCCGACCCCAGTCGATATATGACAAGTCACTCGTTTCTATCTCCTCCTCCTCGTGACCTTGGACCTCCAATTTTTTAGGAAAACGACACTGAACTGCGCGGTATAGGCTTTCGTGTTTGAGCTAGACACAAAAACACAAATGTGATGACACGCCTAGAGTGTCCTGTTTAATTAAAGCAGTTTAAAAACTTGGAGAGGACGTGTATTTCCACTTCAGAGATTATAAACGTCATTATTGTGAAAAATTAATTTCGTCACGACATCGTGCGTGTTAAATGCTCCTCGTGAGGATCAAAGTAAAAATGGCTCCCAAGATTTTTATATTTTTAGACTTAGACGTCTAGAAATGAAAAAAAAATCCCGGGGTAATTTTTGATATGTATGGATTCTAGTGTATGTGTTTGTGGAGCATGACTTTCTTGAAGCTTGATTTTCGGCAAAAAGTACAGGAATTATTAAGCTTCAAACAGATGACTCTGTTTGAAGCTTAATAATTCCTGTACTTTTTGCCGAAAATGTCTGAAATTTTGTAGTAGGAAGGTTTGTGTGTTAGGGAGATAGAAGTTATTAAATTTTGGTGGTTAAAGGTCGAGGGAGTGAGGAGATGAAGGGAGTCGTATGTATCACCAATGTGGTCGGACTTCATGACGATTAGGGATTGCAATTGCTGGATCTAGCGCATTCTTCGGCCTGCTGGATCCAGCGCGGCAGATCCGCAAATACTCAATTAACTTTCTAAATAATGGCGCAAAAGTCTACGTTGTCGGCGTTGCCGCTTTGCTACGTGCGCTATCGCTCGGCGGCGAGAGCAACGTTGCCGTTCACTGCGGCACGTGCTACACCCCCTCTCTACATGGCTCTGCTGATCTAATTGCCAGTTGACTTTCCGCTCTCGCTAAATAAAGTTCTTCGCGCTAAATAAAGTTCTTCGCGCTAAATAAAATAAGTAACTGCTCTCTTAGTCCTAGTGCATAATTCTAATTTACGGTCGGTTGTGACATCAATGAATGACGTGACAGAACGATCACAGTTTAAGCCTATGAGGAGCTGCAGCCTCGCGGCTTGTCCACGAAACATAACCTTTCCCTTCGAGAGATGACCGTCCCTATCCCTAGAAATGACCGTCACTAGGTAATAGAAAACCTTTTATTTCAGCTCAATCGATATTTTACCGGAGACGAAACATAAGAAAGTTATTATACTTTTTTCCGGCGATCGCGCGATGATCGGGAGTCGCGTCGCTCTCTCCACTAAGTCTATCGCGTGTTTATTAACAGGCAGTCCAGCAGATATTGATGCCGACATGCTGGCTATCGCTCGCGATCGCCTAGGAATGGGAAGCCCATCAAAATATAAACACTATTGTTGCCACTGACAGATCGAAAACCACCAACACCGTGACTGCGGCTTTCGATGACTGAAGACACAACATCATGGCCCACTTTTCTCTCCACCCTGAGGCTTACACTTGCAACAGAATACGCTCCTAGCGACCACGATCCGCCATCTTCGTTCCGTCACGTGATCCAGTGACGTCACAACCGACCGTAAATTAGAATTAAGCAGTCCTGGTTGGTAATTGTAATACTGTATAGAGAAAATAAAGAACGCTGCCATACGATACAAATTAAATAAAAATTGAATTACCACAAAAACGGCTCTAACGATTTTGATCAAACTCTTAGTTTAGTGCTGCTTCAGCTGCTTTGCGATGAAATTTATTAGGTATGTATATTTATGAATCGAAAGTTCTTTATTTTTTCAAGTATCACGCCAGTTCAGTCAGTTCACAGTTACACAATAATAATATAACTGTACAATTCGAATTCGTACTGAATAATGTCTCTTACAAAGCCAAGTCAGCAAGAGAAATGTGGTGAGAATGATGATAAAAAAAAACTTGTGGGGCTATTTTAAAAAATTGGATGATAGTCGAAGTGCAAAATGCTTATTATGTTCAAAAACTTTGCTGATTAGTAATTGTTCAACGACAGGATTAAAAGGCCATCTACAAAAGATACACTGCGTCAACGTTACTTTTGCAAACAGCAAATTACCACTTCGTAATACTGATATAGTAGTTCCCACAGCAATAGCAACTACATCAAAAAGTGTAAATGATCAGGAAGTAGATATTATACCGAATAAAAAGGCTAAGAAGAGTATTGATGCCTATTTCGTAAAAGAAAATTCGATGGAATCCACGGTTACGAGGATGGTGTGCAAAGATAGTTATACACTGAGTTCATTTTGTACATCTTCCGATTTAAGACGTTTGTTCGCAAAAAATAGATTCCAATTGCCAACTTCTCCCAACACCATAAGGTCGATGATTACCAATTATGCGAAAACTATCGAAGCGGATTTAATAAAAAAGAATTCGCAAATTTTAAAGAAAAGGGTCAAAGATTATAGTTAAGCTTTGATGAATGAACATCTCAAAGACATCACAGATACATAAATCTCAACGTGCACCATAAAGAAACCCATTTTAATTTTGCTCTGATCAGAATTCACGGATCCTGCACGGCCTAACATTGCATCGAATTAGTGTCAGAACGGTTGAAAAAATTTGGCTTAAATTTTGAAACCGACACCATAAATTAATTAGTAGAATTACCTTTGCTATTATTTAACTTAAAGATTACATTATAATTATAATCTAACTAAACATTAAAGTTAATTATCTCTATCTCAAGTGTTAAACCGAACCAAACTTAAGTTTACTGCCTAAATGTGTAAGAAGTTTTACTGATTTATAGTGACCAGTCTAAATAATAAAAGTTTCTTAAGTATTTAAAAAATAAATAAATGTTTTATTTCTTTAGAAAAAAAAAACATAAATTGCTGGATAGATAGATAGATAACACTTTATTGCACCAAAAAATACACCCGCGCTGGATTCAGCTGGAATGATGTTGGTCCAGCAAAAATCCAATTGGATTGAAAACACTGCTGGATTGCAATCCCTAATGACGATTTTACTCGTTATTAGCATTTACAATTTTTTTTTATAAAACTTTTCCCTACCCTCAAAATTAAGGATTTTGTTATTTTATATGCTCTTTGGTAATGCATCTCCCTGATATGCAGGTAAAAATGATGAAATTCAATGTCCGAATTCATCGTATCGATGATAGGGTCGAAAACACGCATCAACTCATCAGTTCTGATAGGTTTAGGTGTAACATTAGGTGTTGTAGTAATGCTTCTCCGCATTCAAAAGCAGATACCACGAATTGTAGTACCGTCGACCCCCCTATAACACTGTTGATAATTCCATTTTATATGAATACCATGTTGTACGAGTCACTTAGATTTTACAAATACGTGAGCCGTTCACAGCTCGGCACGCGTATTTGTAAAATCTAAGTGACTCGTACAACATGGAATTCATATAAAATGGAATTATCAACAGTGTTATAGGGGGTCGACGGTACTACAATTCGTAGTATCTGCTTTTGAATGCGGAGAAGCATTCTTCTATAAGAGTGAAGTTGTGGTGAGTACGGTGGTAACTATTTATAATTTATGGTCTGCTTCGTCAAAATATCAATAACGTTATCACAGTGATGATATTTTACGTTGTCCATTATAAAATAAAATCCCGAAAATTTGTTCGGATCGTCACAATGTTCACATCCAAAACACAGAAATAATTCCGAGTAAAATACAAATAAATAAAATTTAGATTATCAAAAGCAATGCAAACTTTAACAATTAGTTTTATTATACTTTTATTCTGAAAAGGTATCCTACCAACAGAAGAGATAACAGCTTTACCGTATACGCAATAAACATCGGAGGAGTACACACAAAAGATGAAAGAATTGACGATTTCAAATCATTCCGTTTGTATTACACAATGAAATGCAAAACAAAGGAACAAAATGATTTGGCTTCTGCATGGGAAGAACACTTCGCCCACGTATTGTCGAAAGTACATTTAAAAAACATCAACTTTTACACTCTGACATCACATAGTTTAGGTGATGACATAACCAGTCCCCCTTACAGCGTTCTGGTGTTGTGTATTTTCACCCTCTTGACGTCATTATACGTTATACTTTCTTCTTTATCATCCGATGTTATAACCAGTAAACCTCTTATGGGTTTAGCAGGATATTTAAGTCCCATATTTGCGACCACCACAGCATTTGGATTATTGGTGTGGCTCCAGAAAGGTTTCGTTCGACTTAATTTCAGCATATTCTTCCTGATCTTAGGTAATGTTTTTTAATTATTTATTTTAATTAATTGCGATGTTCTGTTTAATTCTAATTACTTTTAATCATTTTGAAGGAATTGGAATTAATGATTATTTTGTGCTTCTGGCAAAATGGAGAAGGACGGATAGAAATGATCACGTGAGGAAGCGTGTGGCCGATACGTTTTCTGAAGTTGGAATACCAATTACCTTAACTTCTTTGGTCAACATATTGCTATTTTCAATTGGATTTACGTCTTCTTATGGAATGGTCAAGATATTCAGCTTGTACAGTGTTGTATCGATTGTATTCAATTACGTATATCAGATATTCTTCTTTGGTGGATGCATGGCGCTGGATGGATACAGAGAAAAGCACAATCTCCACTGCATCTTGTTAACTCCCGTTACAACTAAACTGTCAGGTTAGAAAAAACTACTGTTTTTAACACAGATCAAACCTCGATATAGCACCGCATAATTAATTTCGAGTATTGATTCCCGAAATGGGCACTATCGCGCCATTGAAGAGGTGGCAGTAAAAAACAAAGGTTAGCAGGTTGTTGGAAGGTAAGGGGGTATTCATATTAAATCAAACGCAAAACAAAATAAGAAATAGCTGCACTTAAAGGAACAATTTGGTTTTATTCGATAAAGGAAATGCAATACTTGGGCGATCTGCCTAGGGGAGGTCTCTTTAAGGGTAACTGGCCTCTAAACAGGCGTTGAGAAAACCCGAAAAACTCCATGTGGCCAGCCCATCCGGGCGAGGCGCGAACCCACGACCGTACTCCTAATGTCCTAGGGAACGGAACCGCTCGGCTCGGCCACTGGTAGGATTTAATAGTTGTGAAGAAGATCTGTTGGCTAATTTCGGTTGGCGCCGAATGAGGGTGGCATTGTGTAGCAGGGCGTTATATCGAGATTTGACTGTACTGTTTGAACACGAATGTATTTTAGTAACGAGTAAATTTATAAAACTTACATTTTTCAGGTGACAAACGTTTCGAAGAAAGTAAAGAATATCACAAAGGCACATCCGTGATCAAAAATTTCATAGGAAGATTATTCGGTAATTGGTGCGTGAAATTCTTTTCCGTTCTTATATTTCTTTTTTACATTTCGTGTGCCGTATATTTCGTTGCGAAAACCAAAGAAAATTTCAACTTCCTCAACGTCTTCTCGCGCAGTTCGAATACTTACAAGTACTTTTCAGCTCAACGTAAATACTTTTCCGAATACCCATATACGATTCAATTAGTTTTAAATCAGACTCTGGATTACTCTAATTCCAACACGCGAAGAAATATCAAAGACATCGTATCCAACTTACAATCCTCGCCGCTCATATTTAATTTTTCCATGTGCTGGTTCAACGAGTACCACAAATTTAGTACGAACAATCGCACCGGCTTCCTGTTCGAAAAGTACAACTTGACTGATCCTAAGGGTTATCTGGCAGGACTAAAGGATGTTTTCTTGAAATTTAAACCGTTCCTTTCGTTTAATAACGATATTTTATTCAACGAGAAGGGGGATGAGATTGTTGCATCTAGGTGCTTTCTAGTTAGTCAGAACATAAAATCTTACGCTGATGAGAAATTACTGTTGGAAAGTGTGCGTACAATAGCCGATAACTCCAAATATTCTGTTTTTGCGTATAATATGTACTTCCCCATTTACGAACGAAATTTATACGTGTCCACATACGCAACAACAAGCATCAGTATTGCTGCAGTAGTCATCGCCGTGGTGTTTTCCGTGTTTATACAAGACGTAACGTGCGTATTACTTGTAATGTTAACCGTAATATGCATACAAGTGGCCACTGTGGGCTTCGTAACTCTGTGGGGTGTTAGTATTAATATTGTATCAGTTATTATTGTATTCATAGGTATTAGTTTCAGTGTGGAATTTTTAGCTCACGTAATTTATTATTACAAAAGTTTATTGGAAAAGGATGCGGATGAGAAGATTAAAACTACATTGCATCACGTTGGTTATGCAGTTGCTCAGGGATTCCTTTCCATCGTTCTTAAAGTTTCCATATTTTATTTTAATCCTAGTTATATGTATCCGACTTGCTTTAAAATTTTATTAGTGATGATGATTTTTGCGCTTTACCATACTTTGGTATTGATACCCGTTGCTTTCAGTATGGCTCAGTGCTTTACTTTGCCATGGAAGAAACTGCTTCGAATAAGTGACGAAAGACCCATATAATTTTGATTGACTCTTAATGATTATTACCTAATTACAAATAACGTAATGCAATTAGCTAATTGGTTTAGCGTCTGTCTATCTATATCCAGGCGATTAAGGCATTAGCGTACTGTACTGAAGGATCTGGGTTCGAGTTTCGAGGGGACTAGTGTTAATTTATTTCGATAATAATGAATTTCGGTGTCAACTAGCAAGGAGCTCACGTCGCATATTCGAATATCATACTGTATGTAAGCATTTAAGATACCAGTATTCAATGCACTTACATATAGTATGACTTCAAATATACTACGTGATTCCCCTTTGCTCTTGGATACAGAAAAATCAGGTATTAATGATAGTAACTGAGGTTATGAACCGATCATCAAATTTGTACGTTGGTAGTTCAGGCGCTAATGACTACCTTTCTAATGAATTTGGGTTAGAATCTTCAGAAATTTTCAGGTGGCCTATGGACATCAGATATATCTTATTTTCCATTGCGTCCTGAAGGAACAGGTGATGTGCTATTTATACTCTTTTTAAACCTACATGGTAGAGAGTTTAAAAAATTATCTTTTGCTTTGTATTGTATATAAACGTATACAATTTTAGTAAGTCGATCATGTATATATACTGTATATATAAATAAAAGGCCTCGTCAATCGGAGCAATAAAAGTATTACTAGAATTGCAGTGTGTTTTGTTTTTTAGTATTTAACTCTCCGCCCGTTGGCACTAGGAAGAATCTCTAGTGTGAGTTATATCCAGACCCTCATTGTCGATGAGGTTTCCTCTATTATGGGAGGAAACCTCCTCCACAATCTGGATCTAGATACCTCTAAAATCTCCATTGTAAGTTTCAGATGATTCGAATATCTCTGAAGTGTCTGTAACTTCATTGTGAATTTTACCCAGACCCACAATGGAGATGTCGTGAGGTGAATGAATTTTTGGAGTCAATCTTGAGCTCGCAGGGCCAATGAATCCCTTCAGTGAGAACGGTATTAATGAAACTCCTCCTTTGAGAAGTATAGTGAGGACAGTAGTAAATAATATGGAATGGTTCCTCCATCTCGTTGAGAGAGCAAGTGCACTGTCCATTGCCCTTATTGAGAAACCTCAAGAGGTAACTTCTAAAGTTGCCGTGATTGGTCAATAATTGAGTAAGATGGAAGGAGGGGAGCAAATGCTTGTTGTTCCTTCTGATAATAGCGTCGGGAATAAACCTACCCGTGGAACTTGCGTTCTACCTTTCCTGCCAGTACTTCCAGCAGGCCAGACTAATCTGATTGGAGAACCAGGTGGGAGGAACATTGCTGTAAGTGCAGTGGTTGAACCTATCAGGTGCAACCACTGCACTTACAGCAATGTTCCTCCCACCTGTTCTCCAATCAGATTATATCTTAAATGCTTAAATGCTTTCGAGCCAGTAGATCTGCTTTCTCGTTCTCGGGAATACCGGAGTGACCCTTCATACAAATAAGTTTGAATTCTATATCCTTCAAGAGTAAAAGAAGGATTTGGACAATTTCACTGACAATGGGGAGGTTTTTAAGTTGAAGGAGGGCGACTCTACTATCTGTAAGAATGGTTGCTTTATTGTAGTACCTAGAGTTGGCATTATTCCTGATCCATCTTAGCGCATTCCTGATAGCCAATGATTCTGCTTCGTTAGCCGTACAGTGGGGAGCCAGCATATACTGCATAAAGATAACTAGGGTCAATTGACATTCACAATAACGATTGAAACAAAGGAATTAACATTTCTTTCTGCTTCTAACACAATAAAGTGCTATAAATTAATACACTTGGCGGATGAGAAAAACCGCCAAGTGTCTTAATTTATAGCACTATATTGTGTTAGAAGCAGAAACAAATTTCAAAGCACTGTTTCATACAATTAAAAAAAAGGAATTAACACTTAGAAAAAATTTAAAGTGATTTATACAAAAGTTAATTCTCTTAAAAATACACTTACAGTATTATTTATTAAGCACGCAATCACGCTGGACCTAAAAAACAATTAAAAAATGAAAATAGTAATAAAATTATAATCCTGAACAAGAAAATAATAAGCACGAGTATAATTGAAAGACACTTAAAGCGAGGTACGCTTTTAATGATATGAAGAAATGATAACCCGAGAAATTTTACTAATAGTTGGCACTATTAATAAAATTTCTCGGGTTATCATTATTCTTAAGATTGCAACTCCGTTACCAAAATATATAAACCCTACAAACATATATGCGTGCGTGTCTTTATGTTTAGGGGAGACCGGGGCAACTTCGGCATGCGGGGCAAGTTTGTCAAGCGCTTTTTTTTAAAAACAAATTAAAAGGAGACTTTGGTTATAGGTTAGGCAGTTGAGTTTTATTGGTGGCTTGTTGAGTGTAGTGTTTTTATTGTTCT